TGTTGGCAATCATGCTCCATCAAAATTCGTCACACGCACACACACAATGAGTGTAGCTCTTGACCAGCTGGGAATGGAATGAGTTTGACATTAACTTTCGGCAGAGAAAAATCGGCGAAGACAGGACTTCATCAAGTGGACATAGAGAAGACAACAACAAGCACCAATCATGGTGGGAATCTAAAGGAAGGAAAGATGGAGGTATAGTGAAAGGATGTAGGATGATAAAAGCAACGCAGATCTTCATTCATCTGAAATCAATATGGATATCTTCTGCACTCCTCATTTGGAACGAGATTCAAATTTTCAACACTAGTGTGTCCATTGAGACAGTGTTTGTATATGTGGTTCAAAGACTTGGTATTTTACGAAAAGTATTTCGAACAGTCTATTGCAGACTGTCATCAACAGCTAGCTGGCTATCCGCGTTCTGTAGGCAACGAACCAAAATCAGAAACCTATTGTCTGACAAATATACGACTTGCTATTGTCAAATGTAAAATGATGCTGTAGCACTTAATTCCACCGACTGCCAATGAAAAGATGGTGGTACTGGAGGGCGTTGACTATTTCACTTATGTAGAATGATGTTGCATCAACCAGGCCCAATGGAGTACTGACTGCTGTTGTATACAAAAGACTCGTGAGGCGAGGCATTCACGAAACTTACGTCATCTTGGGCTGGCTATTGATCAAAGGACCACATAGCCATAAGGTATCGTTGGCGAGGGTCAGTAGAAGACCGTCGCTCCTTCTGGAACACGTGCGTAGACTCTGATCACGCTCTGGTTCGCGCACGTTTATGCTTACGACTAAATGGACATAAGAAATTGACGGCAACGAAACAGTTACGTCCCCAACTAGATCGTGACACTGAGTCCTTATTTAAGGAAGAAATAGCGAAACTAGTTTCTGAGGTCGACAGCAGGACTTCCCCTGAGGTAGCCTGGCACAACATACAGTTAGCTGTGAATAAGCTAAAACCCAAAGTTAATAAAAGCCACTGGATCTCTACCGCCTCATCCGAACTGATTGACACAAGAAGACTGATTCCAGCGAGCTCCGATTATGATGAGGAGCGAAAGGTACTTAAACGAAGACTAACAAAAAGTCTTCGCAACGACCGTGAACAGTGGTGGGCGACAAAAGCGAAAGAGATGGAAAAGGTATCGGCGATTGGCAACACCAGACAACTATTTAGGCTTATCAGGGAAACAGGTGATAAAAGGCAAATGATAAGCGAAACAATCTCTGAGAAAAATGGCACCCTAGTCAGCTCCCAGGATAGACGACTGGAACTCTGGAAAGAACACTTTGAGGAGCGATTCAATTGGCCTACAGCCACGCTTAACCTGCCGAACATCCAACACTTCCCTGAATGGGATATAGACACAGGTCCTCCGTCCTTAACTGAGGTTACTAAAGCTGTCACTAATCTGAAGCAAGGCAAAGCAGCGGAACCTGATGGATTGACTCCAGAGGTATTTAAGTACGGTGGAGACAGTTTACTGTCTGCGTTAACTGAGGTTCTAGGCAGCGTCTGGGAATCAGAGGAAGTCCCATCGGCTTGGTGTAAGTCACTGATCATCCCGATATACAAGAAGGGAGACAAGTCTTCTTGTGATAATCACAGAGGGATTAGCTTGACTAATATAGTATCTAAAATCCTAGGCTCAATAATACTGCGTAGACTAAGTGGTGCTCGGGAGGCACAAACACGAGAAAACCAGGCAGGTTTTAGGCCAGGAAGAGGGTGTATTGATCATATCTTCACCCTTCGACAGATTCTAGAACATAGGCATTCCTACCGGCATCCGACAATCACTATATTTCTTGACCTAAAGGCGGCATTCGATTCTGTCGACCGAGAGGTTCTCTGGCGATGCTTGGCTGTGAAGGGAATGCCGAGAAAATACATTGCACTGATTAAGGCACTCTACTCGTACTCATGCAGCCAGGTGAGGGCCTATGGCGAGTTGTCATCTGAAGTGGTGACGACTAGTGGCGTCCGTCAAGGATGCCCATTATCCCCATTCCTATTCAACTTCATCATAGACGTATTAATGGACTTAACCCTAACACACTTCAGCGACTCAGGGATTGACTTGCTACCAGGGAATAATCTCGTCGACTTAGAATATGCGGACGATATAGTCCTTCTAGGCGAGGACGCTGACAAAATGCAGAGTCTACTGAACACCTTGAGCAACAATCTTCGTATGTTTGGCATGCGATTCGCCCCTGTAAAATGTAAGATGATGTTGCAGGATTGGACTACACCGACCCCTAGATTAGAAATAGGAAGTGAAGTGGTAGAGCACGTTGACCACTTCACTTACTTGGGAAGTACCATCAGCCCCAACGGGTTGATCTCTGACGAAATCTCAGCACGAATACAGAGGGCTAGTTTCGCATATGCCAGTTTACGCCGTCTCTGGCGTAGACGTGATATCCGACTATCGACCAAAGGGCGTGTGTACTGCTCATCAGTCCGCTCCGTCCTCCTTTATGGCTGTGAGACCTGGCCATTGAGAGTGGAAGACATGAAAAGATTAGCTGTGTTTGATCATAGGTGTCTGCGTTCTATCTCCCGTGTGAAGTGGTATAATAAGGTGAGCAATATTGAGGTTAGGCGTCGAGTGCTAGGTAAGGCGGGGAAATCAATCGACGAAACTGTGAAATTACATCGACTGAGATGGTTAGGACATGTGTTACGTATGCCTAGTCATCGCCTTCCTCGACGGGCAATGTTAGCTGATATAGGGCCAGGCTGGAAAAGAGCTAGCGGCGGTCAAACGAAAACATGGCACCAGTCAATGAAATCCACAACAGTTAGTCTAAGCCACGTAGGAAGGTGTAGACTTCCTGGTTGGGGTCCTCGGGACGGTAAAAACCAATGGTTGGAAACAATTGGTGACATGGCTCAAAATCGTTCTCAATGGCTGGCGCAGATGCATCCACTCCTTGTGACTTATGATTTCCAATGAAACTGTTTTGTTCTTCGTTATTACTATTCCTTTGTCTCACACCTCTGTTTACTGTCTCTAATATGCATTTCTCCTACTTTCTTCTCTTGCTTTGTGTGCTACATGGAGTGTGGCGACTTGAACTGCCGCACATATGTGCAAAGTTCTATGTCGAAAACCGACCGAAATGGCGTGTGTATTAGATTGTTGGAGGCAATCGGTCCTTCGACGTAGGTTTCGTGCTAGTTGGCACTCACCAGTCAGCAAGGCGTATCTGCAATCACACTGAAGGAACTCATGTCCCACCCCTCTGAGATTCTAGCCCGCATCACTCAATGCCGCCTGCAGTCAGAGATGTTACCACTGAACTATTCCTTCAGGGAGGTTGCAGATACGCCTTGCTGACGAGTGCCGACTAGAACGAAACCTAGGTCCAAGGGTTCCTGCTGATTGCCTCCAACCATCTCTAATACCAACAGTTCACACAGTGCAGTGTACCGTGATTCCGAGCCACCTAGATTGTTAGTGGCCACATTGCAAAATTGAATGATAGGATTCAGTCTGCACCAAACACGTCAAAGACTAGACACATTACACTAGTTACTGACTAGTGTTCAATAAAGAAAAGAAGGACGTGTACTGCAAAGCAATTCTGTTGCGTCCTCCTTTATAGTTTTGATACACGACCGTTGAAACTAGGAGGTATGGAAAGGCTAGCTATCGTTAGTCATAGGCGACTGCGTTCTGTCTGCTGTGTTAACTGGCATAGTATGACGATGAGTAATATTGAGGTTAGCCGTAGAGTGTGTGTGTTAGGTAAGGAGAGAAACCTGTGAAACCTGACCTTTCCGAGCTGAGGATGTGGGGCCGCTCTGCTTATTCGATTATCGCTGTCTCCACAGGATTGCTTGCGTTCGATGGCATCATCGCGTGAGTAATTCTGAGGTCCGGCGGCGTATGTTTGAACACAGTAGAGATCACCATTTGTTGATTGTCGTCATCTGGAAACACCGGTTTCGGTGGCTTGGACATGTGCTGCGAATGTCATCCCAGAGGCTTCCGTACACCGGTCTCTGTTCGTTAGCCCTGGGAGGGGATAGAAAGAGCGGAGAAGTGGTCAGCCGATGACGTGGCGGCGTGGGATGAAGGATATTTGTGCTAGGTCAGCTTCAGTTGGTGCGTGACGACTCCCTGGTTGCAGTCCGATAGATTGCTCGAAACGTTATCGGATATGGCCAAGAATCGCAGTCATCAATAGCGAACGTGTTGCGATTTCCTTCTTTCTTCCCTTCCCGAGGATAGTTGACGAATACTATTTGAACTTGTTAAGTATGGCTTTTTCCTTCCTGATGAGGTTTTTTTATCCGTTCTCCACCTGTATTTTTACTTTTAATCTATGTTGTTTTATTATTAATATTGTGTGGCGTATCTTCTTGGTGTCATATTGTACCAAGTTTTTCTGAGTTTAAATAAATAATAAGGAGAGAAAGTCAGTCAGTCGGCCGACGAGGTTGTGAAGCTATATCGGTTGTGATGGTTAGGATATATGGGTTATACATACTGTCAGTTGACATAGAATCAGGTTGGGTGAGAGATCGAGAGAGAGTGCGAGCTAGTGGTAGTTAAACCAGAACATGGCTTTATCAGTCCAGAAAGTCTTTAGCAGTTAGTTTGAGAGGTGTAGACTGTGTCTGGCCGGTCGGGGGTGGGTGGGTGCGTGGGTGGTGTCCTCGTTATGCTAAGAATCAATGAAGTCTAAAGACAATTGATGATAATATATATATCTGGAAAGCATTCCAATAAAACTCTATTGTTTGTCCATGTTACTGTTCGTTCCCCCACCTTACATTATCGTTCTTTCGAAACTCTTTGTTTTTAATCTTTCAACTTCCTTTGTGTGATATGACAACTCGAACTGCTATACTCTTCTGTGCCAAGTTCTCGTATGCTGACTGAAACTCGGTCAGTCAGTTACACCTTGAATGAAGTATTTCTACTAGCAGCAACGTTACTTATCCCCCCCACCCCCCACCCCATCATCAAATACTGTAAACAGTCTGTCAATCGTCCTGTCAATCACCTGTTCTTTTCATTGTATGTTTTTCTGTTTTAGGAACTGTTTAGCAGTGTTGGCAGTCTACGCTTATGCACTGTTACACGACCTGGTCAAGCTGAAGTTATCTACAATCATTCATCAGATGCACTTGAAGCTATTGAACGGTATAACGGGCGAGAGTTAGACGGTCGTCCAATGCGTGTCACTCTGACAACACCTGTGAGTAGTGAGCATGATACATCAGTTGGTGTTGGTGGTGGTGCTGCTGGTCTACGTATGGCTTCAAGACTTGGTCCTAATTATGGAAGGTTAGTGTGTGTGTGTGTATGTGTTCGTGTCCCCATGGTTTTACTGGAATACTTTTTCTGTATAGATCGATATTAAAGTCTTACAACCGGCTACTGTTCTCCACCTCAAGGTGAATTGTCAATCTTTTCGAATCCCCCGAACTCAGAACGGAGAAGCAACATAACTGGTTGTTAAATCTATATTCGCCTGAACGCTTCAACTTCACCCACAGAATTCCACGCCGCTGCTGCCGCCGCAAAATAGTTTAGATGACTGAAACTATGACAGTAACTGCTTTTAGTATAACCGCTATCCAGACGATCTTTCCGGTATGATAGGACTTGTGGGGGAACACTTGTTCCATCCAGCCTAGCTCCTTGGGTGATTGCATCAAGGTATATGGCAGACAACAGTCAGCATAAATAGGAGAAATCTGAAAGAAGGAACTTCCTGGGAAGCATCGTTTCTACTACGGGTGGACGGAACTGCTGAGGATATCAAAGCAGCAAGGATAGGGAAAGCAAGACAAGCTTTCATTTCTCTAAAGTCTGTGTGGAGATCAACAGCACTCAGTATGAAAAATAAGATCCGGATTTCCAACTCCATTGTGAAGTCAGTGCTACTTGGCGCCGTGTCACAAAGGCCAATTCGAACAAAATACATACCCCTTAATCAACAGCTGTTTTGCTCCGGGATCGAACCCCGGACCACTTGCGTGGTCGGCGAACACTCTATGCATGTTTTTGCTGTATTGTTATATTATTGCTGGTGTGGTTGATTATATATACATCCTGTGTGGGTGGGTGAATTGACTGACCTCCTGTGTTATATTCTCTTCTCGAATTCAAGAGAATAAACTAGATGTTAAAAGACGTGATAATGAAAAGCTTGACAATCGAGAACTACCCAATGCATAGGAGATCAATCAGCGCCTCCACTTGATCTAGCTACAATCGATCGTATGTATGTGTGTGTATAAATTCTTTAATATTAATTAGCAGAGGCTTGACTTTTTTCAAGTTCGACCATGGATATTGATGACATCAGTTAAAGAACCACCCACAACACCGAGTCGGGGGTCGAACCCTAGGATATTCAGGTTGCGATGAGGCCAAGCACATTGATGATGACCATTCAGCCACTTGGACCTAAATGTGGATATTTTTGTTGGCAGTTCGCTGTTTCATTCCATTGATTGTCTGAGGGCTGCGATATTGTCTGGGCATCCAGACTGATGCCCCAAGCCTCTGACTTGGAGTCTAATCCGCAAGCCGGCGTCAGGAACTAAGCTCCCATGGTTGCCAGTGACGAATATAGATGCATACGCCATTTGATCCGATTGGATTCTGGAGCTCATGTATCGCCATGGTAATTGTTTTTAGTCTAACCACTATCCAGACAATCTTTCTGACATTGTAGGAACATAAGACCCAGTCAGTTTAGCTTGTTGGGTCACCGCAGTATTCAAGCACAACCGCCACGATCAGGTAGTAATTGTCGGCCGGGAATTATTATTATTGTGCGGCGCATCTCCTTGGTGCCTTATTGTACCGAGTTTTTTTGTGTTTAAATAAATAATAATAAATATAGACCTTAATTCTCAAGGATCCGTGAATTCTAACTCTTTAAATTTGTGATAGAGCGCTAGAGTTGAATGTTCATATGACGACTTTGTAGTATCAGCTAGGCTGCATATATGTCAAACTGACAGAAGTTAGGAATCAAGAATACCAATCCTAGTGGCTGAATGCTCAATGAGTTTGGCCTCGTTACAGCCTGAAGGCTCCAGGATGGTAATGGTTGCGTAGTACTGACGAGTCCTAAACGAGGATGAAATAGCCTCTTCAGAACTTCCTGGTTTCTAACGGTTGTCGTCTAACTGACATCAGTCCATGCTCAAACCTAAAGCAAATCAAATTCCCTTAAAACGAACTCTTAAAAATTTTTTTAATGCTTACTGGTGACTGACTGACTACAGGAGGAAATTGCCTGAAGTTCTGGTCGGAAGTTGTGACTAGTGCGTGGGGTGCCTCCACCTGGTTGTTGGGTGCGAGGATGAATACTCGCCGATGATACTGACTGGCGGTCGCGCTAAAATCGTGAATTGACCAGTGTTAGAATTCACAGATCTTTGAATTCTGACCAAGGTGTCTGGATAGTGAAGGAGCTTAGCCTCGTCGCAATCTGAGGGCCCTGAGATTGAACTTTAATGAATGAAGGTATTGGTGAGCACCGACGAAGAGTCTCATAGTGGGATGAAACTGCCGGTCAGTACTGCTAGCTGGTGGTTTTTAATGATTACCTGCCTAACCGACATTAGTCTTGATATTTTTCTAATATATATTTGTTTAACCGAGTATTGCTTTGCATAGATTTGATCGGGTTCCAGCGAATGATTGGTCTACAAACTCGCGTTGTAACGGGAGTTAATGGGTTCGGATCCCTGGTGGGTGCGTACTGCTGAATAGTCCCAAACTAGGGCGGAATAGCTGTCAAGAACTACACCTTGGTTTTTCTGTGCGGAGTCTTCTGAACACCATGAAGAGCAGGAAATCTTCGAATGTTTGGCATGCGATTTGCTCCAGCTGTCAAATGTAAGGTGACGCTACAGGACTGGACTAGACTACATCGACTCCTAGCTTTAAGACAGAGGGGAGTAAAGTTGTTGTTGTTGAGCGTGTTGACCACTTCTCTTGTTTGGGTAGTCGCATCAGCCCCAGCGGTTGATCGCTGACGAAATCGCAGCACTAATACACCAGGCTCGTTTGGCATTTGTCTGCCAACTTACTCCATCTCTGGCTTAGTAGACGTGATATCTGGCTGGCTGTTGACGAAAGGACGTGTATACTGCTCATCGGTTCGCTCTATCCTCCTTTGTGGCTGTGAGAGACGTGACCATTAAAACTGGGAGACATGAAAAGCCTGACTAGCGGTCTTTGATCGTAGGTGTCTGCATTCTATCTCCCGTGTGAAGTGGTATAATAAGGTGAGCAATATTGAGGTGAGGCACCGATCGTGTGCTAGGTGAGTTGGAGGGTAAATCAATCGATGAAGTGGTTTTTAAGCAGCTGCATCGATCGAGATGGTTAGGACATGTGTTACTCATGCCTACCTGCCTGGCCATTGCTTTCCTCAACCAATGGGCAATGTTACCACCTGACATAGGCTAGATCAGGTTGGAAAGAGCCATTGGTGGTCAAACCAAAACATGGCTTCATCAGTCAGTGATGAAATCGACAACAGTTAGTTTAGGCCATTCAGCAGCCACATAGGGAGGCGTAGACTTCTTGACTGGTTGGGGTCTTCGGGATGGTAAGAGCCAATGCCAGTTGCTGGAGACAATTGGTGATATGACTAAAGTCGTCCTCGTTGATGGCGCAGATGCATTGACTCTTTATGATTTGTGATTTACATTAAATTTCTATTGTCCTTCCATATTACTACTGTTCTTTCTCCTCCTCCTCCCACTCACACTACTGTTTATTATGTCTCTTTTGAATCTGTCTTGACTCTCTCTTGACTCTTGCTTTGTGTGCTACATAGAAGGAGGAGTGTTGCAACTCGAACTGCTGCTGCACATCTGTGCAAAGTGTAGTTCTATGTTGAAACCAGTTAGTAGTCAGTAATTCACCCCTCTAACTGATATATCCATGTTTCTATTTTCTCTTCTCCCTCTTCTCCTTCATTTCAGAAAACAAAATGAAAGTCAAGCGAAACAAGTTATACGAAATTCAGTCAACCGATCATCATCGTCGTCAGCAGCAGCCGCAGGAGCAACAGCAACAGGATCAAGTGTTCCAATGGAAGTTGATGCAGATGTTGTGCGTAAAGCTTTATTCAATATCAGTTCATCAGGTAGTGTACAGTCAAGAAGACCTGTAGACTTTAGTGTTAGTCTTCGTTAGAACAATCAATGTGTGTGTGGGGATGGTTGTTGATATAGGTAAAGAAGAAAAATAAACAACAACAACAAATAAACGTGATCCTGTTTTGTTCTATTATCACTGTTATTATTATTAGTATTATTATTATTTATCGTTCAACTTTACAATCATTCTTCATAGGTATGTTTGTGTATAACTTGGAAAATAAACCTGTATGCTATGCTGTTCTGTGCAGTGCTGTGCTGCATTGTTGATTTCTTGTTGTTTACTTTTCCCTTCCCATCTTCTTTTTCTTCCAATATATAAATAATCTAGAAAATACAGGATTTTTTTAAAAACAACAACTCGTGTTCTGTTTTTTATTGAATCTCAGCTCCGTTGCAGGGGGGATTATCATTATTATTATTATTTTCTTGGGTTCCGAGGGGAACATTTGAGGCGCCAACATGAAATCCGCATTTCTTTACAGTGATCTTCATTAGCCAGCTGCACACGGATTGCCCATAAGCTGTCATCTCCTCGCCCTCTTCCTCCGTGTCATCCTTGGTTATGCGCCCGACTCGTCGTCGTCGTTACCCATTCAGATTACCCTTGAGCAATGGCCTAACTGGGGTACCATGGGATGTTATATTCGATGGTCTCCTCTGCGTTCTATGTCCTGAGTTAAGTGGTATTCTATACAGTGAGTCACAGCGAGGTTACGCGTAGTGTGTTGGATAGATAAGGCGGTGAACCGATTGTGAGATGGTTAGAGGGCACGTGTTGTGTATGCGAAACCATCGCCTTTGTCCACCAGCCGTGTTATATGATAATAGGATTAGGTTTAAAAAAAGAGTTATAGATGGTTGGTCAGAGCAAAACATGGCGCTTCATCATCAGTCCATTCAAGTTTTTGACTGCTTAATATATGTGTAAAACTTGGGCACTGTGGTAGTAAGTGATTCCATATTAGTTTGTTTATTAGATATATCACACAGTGAAACAGTATTATTCACTGGATGACACAGTTTCGAACAAAATTTATTGTTCATAATCATATCAATTATAATCACACGACTTTGGAACTTGAATTTTTTAGTTTTCTTTGTTCCCAACTATTCGTCGTCGTAGGGGTAGTAGAATTTCCCAGATATCTGGGTGGACAGGTGATGAATCATTCCTGTTACATGTATTCGCAGTTGATTCGATAAGCACAAAGCTTCCATTATCGATCTCTCCCTCCATTCACCCTGTTACATTAGATTTTAAAACTGTCATCTTATCCCATTCCATCCTACTGTATGGTTGTGTGTAATTGCGAGTGGTTTAGTGTTATAGCTGAACTATTCTCTAGATTTCTTATCTTATTTGGATCAACCAATCTAGATTTTGCGAAGTTTTTATGTTCGGCTAGTCTGACTGCCCGTGTTCTACTAGTTTGCCCTGACAATCATTCCAGCAGGATACTAGATAAACTAAATAATAATGTTAATGACGACACCAACAATAAGGAATGTAAATCATCAGTAGTAATTCCATACAAGCGAGGAACCTCGGAAACCTTACGTAGAATTCTTAACAAGGCAGGAATAAAAGTGGCTGGCATTCAAACCCACAAACTCAACTAGAAACAAGCTTTGATGGTTAGAGGATCCTGTGGAGTCTTTAAAACAAACAATTTAGTTTATCTAATACCCTGCTGAAATGATTGTCAGGTCAAATGCAAAGGTCAAACTAGTAAAACAGGGGCAGTCATTCAGACTAACGGAGCATAAAAACCTAGCAACGAAATCTAGAGTAGTTTACTCTATTAGGATAAGAGATCTGGAGAGTAGTTCAGCTATAACACTAAACCACTCGCAATTACACACAACCATACAATAGGTTGGGATGGGATAAGATGACAGTTTTAAAATCTAATGTCACAGGGTATAAGGAGAGAATGATAACAGAAGCTTTGTTTATCGAATCAACTGCAAATACATATAATAGGAATGATTCATCACCTGTCCCCGATATCTGGAAAATTCTATGAAGACGAATAGGTGGGAACAAAGAAAACCATAAAACTCAAGTTTCAAAGTCGTGTGGTTATAACTGATATGATTATGGACAATACTAGATTGTGTTCAAAGCGGCGTCATCCAGTAAATAATACTGTTTCATTCACTGTGTGATATATCTAATAAACGAACTAATATGGAATTTTTGACTGCTTATTTAAGCCACATGTGGAGATAGCCAGATATAATAAGCTGTCTGGCTAGGAGGGGTCTGTCTTCAAGAAATTAAGAATCTCAATGACTAGCGCAATACTTTTGGTGACATGTAGATTGAAATTGTTCTCTTATGCCGCAGTTACTTTCACTCCTTTTATAATTTTCCATACATCCATTCTCTATCATTGTGTGCTGCTACATACATGAATTGTGGTGTGGGATTTCGATGTGCTGTACACTTAGGTGCAAAGTTTTGTGTTGAAAAAATGTAAATGGCAAAATGGATTTTCTAACTGATTGAAAGTATCCATTTGAAATTTATGAACAGAATAGTTATTTAACAAAGAATATTCACATTTTCGATAACCTGTTCTTCATCATCAGGTTCTACAGTTATATATATACATAATAGTGAATGAATGAATTAGCGTTATTGACAAACAATATCAATATTCAAGTATTGGTTTGTAGGGAACTGGTTGATTGGTTACAGGATTTCATCATGAGCTGACATTGCTTTGAGAACTTTTGGAAAACCTGGGAGTACTGGACAGCTGTTTCGTCCTAGTCTGGGGCTCTTCATCAGTACGCACCCACCGGGGTTCGAACCCAGGGCCTTCTGGTTACAAGGCGAGCTCGTATACCATTAAGCCACTGGGACCCGTAGGGTGTAGCAGGTCGGGTGTGAGGGCAAATACTCGCCCCGGAAGATATTGGCTAGCGGTTGCGCTATATCGTGAATTGGCAGAAGTTAGAATTCATGGACTGGCCATTGGATCGGGTCCCAGTGGCTTAATGGTATATAAGGTCGCCTTGTAACCAGAAGGCCCTGGGTTCGAACCCCGGTGGGTGCGTACTGATGAAGAGTCCCAAACTAGGACGAAACAGCTGTCCAGTACTCCCAGGTTTTCCAAAAGTTCTCAAAGCAATGTCAGCTCATGATGAAATCCTGTAACCAATATTAATATTGTTGAAATAACATCGAATCAATAATAATAATAATAGTAATATCAATGGATTACGGTTCGATAGCGTCAACATAACACTGAATATCAAAAACATAAGGAAAAATAATGGTACAAATTCAAGGATTTTATAGTGTCTCCACTCAAAAGCCGGGGCAGCGGTAGTGGCTGGTTGGATTTATTTCTTCTGCACATATGGCACTAGTTGTTTAGGTCGAATCGCGATATCCTCTGCTGTTTGGAATATGGGGTACTTGGATGTTTTTTGGTAATTTATTTGGTACCCAGTAGACGATGATGGAGTAGGATTCTTTAGTGCTAGCCGGCTTTGTAGCCAGTTTGGACCAGGTGGTCTAATATTTAGCTGTTGGTGATGGTTTTCACTACACCTTTACTTAGCCATACTGGTGTGGTGAGAGCTGGCTGCTAGCTAAAGTTGGTAGACAGTAATTGATGTCAGTGTTTATGTCCCCAATATTGGTGGTGAGAAAATGAGAACAAAGGCTTTGCGTAGGCGGATACAGTTATCATATGGATGATCTGACACAGCCACAAAGAGACGCAAGGTTAACTATCTGTGAGAAACAACCAATCAAAAGACTGTATTTTCTATTAACAATAATCTACGATAATGTACATTAAAATCCAAAAATATGTGTTGATTTTCCTTAATAAACGATCTGTTGCCTGGCTCTTGTCTTCTGTTGTTACACTGGTAGGTGTACCCGAGCGAGCAAGAAAAATCAAGTTCCTAGAACAATGGCCAAAATATAACTCGCTCCACCACAAGCGCAGTTGAATTGGTAGATACAATTTTGAAGTGGCTAGTTTAGTTTAGGTACTTCATCTTTCAATCGAGGAATCATAATCGGTTGTGTAGAGAATAAGACGTATATTTCGCCAGCATTACAAGTTCTTTGAACAGATTTTCGTAATTTGTCAGAAATTATTTCACTAGGTGCGTCACCCTTGAATTGCAGTCGTATGCATAAAGGTTTCTTATTTACAGATAGAGAATAGTCCTTTTCTACTTTCTTGCTCATATGTTTCCTGATAAACTTTTGTGGATATCTATTTTCAATTAAGGCGTCATATACAATCCTTAGTTCATCTTCTGAGCATAATAGCTCTGAACCTGTAACTGAGGGTCGTAATTAGATTTCTTTTGTACTGGAGAGGAACAAAGCTATGGAAATGTGCATATTGTCGTGTCCATGTACGTTTTCCTATGCAAATTTCTATTTATACTACCATTTGGTTTTCTTGTGAGAAGGATATCTAGGAGGGCAATTAATCCTGCTTTGGGATTCCCCTTTGCACGTGAATTTGATAGCGGTGAATGTACTTCACATTCAATTGAGTTATTATTGTGTTCCTACCCGAATCATTATCACAAAGAATAAAGGTGTCATCCATATACCGGGAATAAAACGATAATTTTTTTAAATAAGATTGTTGGAAGGTCCATTATCTAGTTTACTTAGAAAGAAATCAGCCAAAATGGGACCCAATGGGGGGCCCATCGCCACCCTCACATATATATACTAATGATAGAAAGAACAGAAAACGGGCCGTTTACTTACTGTTTGGCAGTAACTTACTTCGTAGTTTCATGCCTAACACTTTTCTTATCATACGAATTACGTCGTATCGTACAGTTTTTATACTTAATCATTCAAGCATATGGTGTTCCATAGATGTTGCTTCTAGTTGTAACCTAAGAGATGCGGCAAGGTGATAGTGTGGTGAAAGCTGTCTGCTAGCCAAAATTGTAGACAACAATTTACGTCAATGTTTACGTCCCGAGTCGGGGTCATGAGAAAAAACAATAACAAAGCTTAACCTTGAGGAACTCAACAACCAATCACAGAAGACTTAACGTGTACAAATACGATTGGCAGATATATGGCCTGACCTGTGAAACGGCCACAAAGAGATGACAGAATAACCTTCAGCGAGAAAACAACCAATCAGAAGACGTTGCTTCTCTGCTAACAACAATAACGCTAATAATAATGTACATAAAATCTATAAATATCTGTTGATTTTCTCAAAAAACGATCTGTTGCCTGGCCGGCCTTGTCGTTACAAGAGTTGTGTATAAAGAGGGCGCTCACGGTCTGACAAGATAATATTTGCTAATTTCTTGCAGCAGTCCATGT